AAATTTTCATAAATTCAAATTTTTAAAATTCAAACTTTCAAATTTCAAAGTTGGTCAACAATCAAATTTATGTGACAGATAAGTGCAGATATTCAATATAGAGGCTTGAGAGACAATCATAAACTTATCTTTGTAATATTTCTCTGTTCATCTAGTTTGTTCCTATACACCAATTTAACTTCAATAACCTGCATTAATTTCTTATCATTGATAATTACCTACAACATCAACATACAAATCTAGGTACCCTTTTATTATTTTTGGATCCTTAAAAAGGTTAGTAGAATCACAAGTCTCTGCCAAAAGACTAAGGATTAAAAGAATATAACCATGATATAATAATCGATTATCACAACACCTTCAGAATCAACATAATTGATTATGACAACAAGAAAAAAATTTCTGATTCTGATAATCAATTAGATGCTCAAACTATCATCTAGACATGTATAAATGCTTTGTTCCTTTAGGCACCCATTCATATTTGCCATTAGATATGCCAAAATGTTTTATATAACATCTATTTGATGTATGACCTAATTTCATGTAATAAAAACATGTTGGTTTTCTTTAAAAAGGTCTAAATGAGTTTCTTAAAGTTTTTGAAACTGGTTTCACATCTGTTTTCCTTTACTCTTTCACAAAAATAATTTTATGAGGTTCTAGACTTTCTTTGGGTTTGTAACCAAGTCCAGCTTTGCTAGAATTCCCTCTTTGATAACCTAATATAGAGTTAAGATTTTCAGAAGATTTTGAAAACTTGCTTATTATTTTCTCTAACTTGAAAATCTCATTTTCCAAAAGATTACAATTTTCACAAGGTTTAGCAACTTCTTTATTTTTAGACAAAGTTTTAAATTTCTCAACATCTTTCTTTAAGCACTCATTTTTTTTTTCAAGAATACCAACAATATTTTCTAATGCATTAAACTTTTGCCTAAGTGCATTGTATTTCTTAGATAACTTGGTAAAACCTTCATACATATCTTGATATTCTTTAAATAACTCATCATATTCATTTAAGGAATTTGTACTACTTACCTGTGATGAGGCTTCATCATCATTTTTTCTCATCAAGCAAAGATTTGCTTCTTCTTCTCCATCACTGCTTTCGAAAGAACTCTCTTGTGTTGTGGAAGAATCATTATCCTCCCAAACAATGTAAGCTTTGTGTTTTCTCTTATAGGTATCGTTCTTTTCTTTCTTCTTCTCTTTCACATCTTTCTTCTCTTTCTTAAGTTTCGGATAGTCTGGTTTGATATGACCAGGTTTTCCACATTCACAACAATAGAATTTATTTGTTTTCTCCTTTCTTTGCTATCTCTTTTTCCTGTTCTTCATAAAGCGAGAAAATTGTTTAACAAAAAGAGACATATCGGAATCCGAAAACTTACCTTCATTTTCGCTTTCTTCTTGTGAAGATTTTTCTGCTTTTAGAACTATCGTCTTGATTTGATTCTGTTCACCGTTCTTTAACCTTTGTAGCTCCATCTCATCCTCTCGTAGCTTTCCAAATAGAGTAACAATATTCATTTTTGTGAGATCCTTTGATTCTGTAATAGCAGTGACCTTTGTTTGCCAATTCCTGTCTAATGATTTTAAGATCTTTGTGCTCAACTCCTCATTGTCAAAACTTTTTCCTAATGCTTTCAAGTGATTTATTATATGTGTGAAGCATGTCTGGAAATCCGTGATGCTTTCATTCTGCTGCATTTGAAACAATTCATACTTCTGGATGAGTGTGTTCTTACATGCTCGCTTTACTTCATTTGTTCCTTCATGTGTTACTTCAAGAGTGTCCCATATTTCTTTTTACGTCTTGCATTATGAGACCCTGAAAAATTCATTACGAGTTAAGACAGAAACAATAGCATTTCGGGCTCTTACATCATAATGGGCATGCTTATTTTCATCCGGCATCCATTGGTCAAAAGTCTTTGGAACAACTCCAGACTCTATTGTTCTCATCGGAATGTAGGGACCGTTGAATACATCATCCCAAACACCGTAATCTAGTGTTTGTAAAAATATTTCCATTCTCGCCTTCCAAAACTGATAGTCTTCTCCTTTAAATAATGATGGTATGTTTATTGAGACTCCTTCCCTGTAAACCTGATTATGCATAGATATCTTGACAGATCGTTTAGAAATATCTTATCTAACTAAGTTCTAATACCACTTGTTAGACAAATGACATCTAGAGGGGGGGGGGGGGGTGAATAAATGCACAAATTAAAATAGATGTCAAATTAAAAATTTATTTGTGAGTCAATAATTTGTTTGAATACAGATAAAGCGGAAGCGATAATATAATCAGGAAAAGAGAAAGAGATAACGGAAAGAGAAGAGCACACAGAGATTTATACTGGTTCGGGTATAGCCAACCCTACATCCAGTTTCCAGTCAACTCTTAACACAAGAGTGACTCCCAATTCACTATCTTTCAAATTCAGTTTACAAATTACAATCAACTCAACAGAAGAACCAGTAAAAAGTAAACTAATTAAAAAGACAATCACCTCCTTAGAAACCCACTAAGGATGAACACTTCCCTAAAATCCCACTAGGGATGAACACCTCCTCTGAACAAATCAAAGGATGAAAAACATCTCCTTAGAATCTCACTAAGGATGAACACCTCCCTAGAATCACACTAGGGATGAAAACCTCCTTTGAACAAATCAAAGGATGAAAACACCTCCTTAGAATCTTACTAAGGATGAACACCTCCCTAGAATCACACTAGGGATGAAAAGTACCTCCTTTGCCACCAATACACAAAGGATGAAGGTAATAAAAATAAGAACAGTCACACCTGGGTAATGGAGACAACAAATTATAGAAGCCTGTAGAATGCCAATCTCCAAGGACAAGTGTGATTAATAATGAGAGCACAAAAGACAGTAGAGAAGAGAGTTTTCTCAGAAGGTGTAAATATCTCTGTTGCCTTGCTCAGAATTCTTTTCTCAAAACTGATTGAATGTAAATTGTATTTTCAAATTCTGTAATTGTGTGTTTTTTATTTTTCATCAAAACTTAATTAAATAGAAAAATAGCATCGGAAAAATGGTCGTTGGACATTAATATTTTTGTGAATACAAATCAGGATATATTAAAAAATATTTATTCTTCAAAACGGATATATTTTTTAAATTTGAATTGCTATAATTGATTATGTTACCATTATAATCAATTATGATAGAGAAAATCATTTTTTCATTTCTGATGCATCATAATTGATTATGATAGTAAAAAATATCATGTTATGAATTTTATCACACTTGTGCTTTAGAGGCTTATGTATAATATTACTTCATCAACTTGTACCTTCATATCCAAGTATTCTAAGACTCTATCTAGTCTTTAGGAATCATCATCATCTTTATAAAAATTATATCTTGGACATGTAGGAAAATGTTTCACATTGTCACCAATGTCATAAATTCAGCTTGTCCTTAATTCATCTTGAATGATGTTGACTTGAATGTAGTTAACTTGAATCATTATCAAAATCATCTCTTGGGAATGTAGGGATATTTCCATTAATCTCTCCCTTATTGCTTTCAATATTATGTACTATTTGCATTTATCTAAATACAAAACTACTCCTTAAAATTAAATTAAATTTATAAAATATTACTTATACAATACTTCATAAAATAATTTAAATAAAAATTATATTTTTATATTTATCATGGGCGTACATATTTTATTATTCACTTATAATATTTAAAATTAAATTATAAAAAATAAAATAAAAATTAATTTTTATTATTTTTAATAAATTTATTAATTATTTATTAATATTTTTATTATTTTAATATTTTCTTTAATTTATTATAATTATTTATATAATAGACATGATTAAAAAATAAAGATATAATTAATAAAAAATAATTAACATACCTTAAATTTACAAAATTTAAAATAATGTTTCTAACTAAACATCAAAATATAGAGAAGGAGTACATATTATAATGATAAAAAAGATGAAGACAAAAAGTTGTATAGTATGTTGAATAAATAACCAATTAAATCCTTGACTAAATCTTCCAGTCATATAAATATCTAATATTTAAAAAGTGGAAAAAAAATCCATATTTTCTTTAAGCTCTTACTTATTTCTGTCAAATTATTAATTTAATTTTTAAATATATAAAGAAAATAAATTTGTCTTTAATATTATAACTTAATAATAAAATAGTTTATAGTTATTATTAAATTAAAACATATTGATAAAATAGGCCTATAAAATTAACAATAAAAATATAAATAAATAATTTTTTACTAGAAACTAAAATAAATATTTTATCTTTCCAAAAACTTTAACATAGTTCAATCTATCCATAAATCGATTTCACCACTCTGATAATAATATAAATTATTAAAATTGATAGGTTATTTTTAAATAATTAAATTTTAATTAAATTAATATAAAATTGATAAAATTAAGAAATCTAATAAATTTTTAAATTGGATCGATTTTAATAAAAAAATTAAAGATTCTTTTTTTAATATAATTTTTTATAAAAATATAATATATTTTTAATTTTTTTATTTTATATTAGTAATATAAATTTTAAATAGTAATTATTTTATTAATTTTTATTTTATTTTAATTATTATTTATTTTATATTTATATAATAATTTTTTATTAAATACAATTACATAATATCTTCATTAGTCTAATGATAAGACCCATTTTAAAAAACATCCACATGAATTCATTAATAATTTTATAATATTTGATTTTTCTTCTGTTACAGGGAAACTTGTCAGCTATACTAATTTTAAATTCAACAATAATATGTTATTGTATCTGGTGAAACATAAGATGAGTAGACTTGTCCGCACAGGAATCTACCCCAAAACCCTGAAACCTAAAACCCTTCTTCTAATAAATTTTCAAGGGTTTATCACACTCGCATTCTCAAAACCTTCCTCAAACTGAAGAACAGAGCTGAAAACCCCAATCGCTTCACCAGTCAGTGTCACCAACATGACGAGTGTGATCCTCAGAAGATCCTCTTCCCTAATCTCGCGCCGCCTCTGCGCCTCTCTCGCCTCTGTTGAACCGCTTCCGCATCACCGCCTGATCGCCGCGCTCCGGCACGGTGGCTCTAGCGGCGGAGTTGGAGTCAGATCCTTGCACGCGAAATTTGGACCATTGAACTTCCGCTCGTCGCCGGTTTCTCGCGCGGCGCAGTTCGCCTTGGAGCGCGACTACCCCAATGATGATGTAGGTTGCAGCGTGAACTACGATGAAGGACTCGAGATCGCGAAACTCGGGATATCGACGCATATCGTGGATGCTTTGGCCAAGAAAGGAATCGCGAAGCTGTTTCCTATTCAGGTAAACATTGAATCATGTTGTTTTCAGTTCTCTTTCCAGTTTGTGACTTTTTTATTTTTAAATTTTTTTTTAAACATTAGGTTTTATGATTCATGAAGTTATGTTGTAAGGTTCGTCTTTTGTTGTAATTTGGAGAAGGGAAATGGTAAATGACTTTTTTGTCGGAAGATTTCACGAAATCAGTTTTCTAGTTGTAGCAACTAGAAGTTTTTCGTTTATTTTTAAGTATATATTTTTAAATTTTAGTCTTTTAAAAATTATGTAAAAAAATTATTATTTACTCAATAATAGTGAAATTATGCACCTTGAAAATAAGTGAACAAAACGGAAGTTTTTTTATTATTGATAGTGAATATTTTATTAAGACCCAGGATTCATTGTCATGCGATAAATAAGGAAGAGTCATTGTAAGCAGTTTTGCACTTGCATGTTATGCTACGGAGCTATCTAATAATGAGAATTTTATTAGATCTAAAAAGTTTAGAGAGATAAGACCCTTGATATTAAGAAGGAAATTATGTAATAAATTATCTAGATGAAGACGTGTCATTTGTGGATATATTAATTTCATATGTTGTCTGAAAGATTCAAATGTAGAATTGAAACAAAGATATTTAATTTGGTGTGCTATGTCAAATAACTCTTGAACACGCACTTGATGAAGAATGAACACTCAAATTTATAATTATTATTGTTATTATTATTATCTATGGAGAAATAACTTGACTTACATTCAGGTAAATTCTTGTTCTTTCTTAAATTTGTTTGAATTTGAGATAGTTTGGTTGAAAAAAAAGAAGAAGCAAAAGTGTGTGTTCATAGAAATTTCACAAAAGGCACTTGTTGCTATATTTTGGGTTTGAGCTACTATATTATTATGAGAAAGCTGTGGTGAAATGAATTGATTTAAGTAAGTATATTTTTTATTTATTTTTAAATACATGTTTAAAATATTTTTGGTTGTAAAAGAGCAGAAAAGTCTGTGTTCGTAGAAATTTCAGGAAAACTAACTCATACCATATAATACTGCTGTGCTGTGTAGAAAATTTGTTATATTTGATCTCGAGTCTTGAGATGCTCAGTTATTGTTGTTGTAGAGAGCTGTGCTGGAACCTGCAATGCAAGGACGTGATATGATTGGTCGAGCTAGGACAGGAACTGGGAAAACTCTCGCATTTGGGATACCCATCTTGGACAGGATTATTCAACTTAACGCTAAGCATGGGTACTTTATATTAGTTACACTGACATCATACTTTCACTTGAATCTGTAGCCTTCTTTTTCTGCTTGATGAAGATTAGGTCATGGTCCTAATCTTGATTTGTGTCTTAAACTAAACAAATTTTTGTGATTGATTATGAAGGCGTGGAAAAGATCCTTTGGCTTTGGTTTTGGCTCCAACTAGAGAACTTGCACGGCAGGTTGAGAAGGAATTCAATGAGGCTGCACCTAACCTGGACACGATCTGTCTTTATGGGGGTATGCCCATCCACCAACAAATGAGGCAGCTTAATTATGGTGTAGATATTGCAGTTGGCACACCTGGTCGAATTATTGATCTTCTCAATAGGGGAGCACTGAATTTGAAGGATGTCAAGTTTGTTGTTCTTGATGAAGCTGATCAGATGCTTCAAGTAGGATTTCAAGAAGCTGTGGAGAAGATCTTGGAGAGATTGTCTTCAAATCGTCAGACTCTTATGTTCTCAGCAACAATGCCATCTTGGATAAAGAGTATTACCCGCAATTACCTAAACAACCCCCTTACCATTGATCTTGTAAGTATACAAATATATTTTAGGCAACAGTAAGAAAGGTTATTCAAATTTTAAAATGTAATTTCTATTGAGCCTAGTGTCGTGTGACATGGGCCAAAGAGAGTCTTGAGGAGAAATTAGAAGATACCTTACAAATTTAATTAATGGAATCTCCTAAAGCTTAAGATTTTGGGATCCATCAGGAAATAAATTTCAATAGATGAAGTCTTCTTGGACAGAACTTGGATTCAAGTGATTCCAAGTTGGGGTAAGAACATCTCTAAAGATAGTTGCTTACATGAATTACTTAAAATTGGATGAATTTGCGTAAAATAGAAAGAAAGATGTTTATATAAGCAATTTTGTCCAATTTTAAGCAACGTATGTGAGGGCTCTACAATAAAATAACATTTTTATTTTAAGAGATGGTTTCATTAAACTAAAAAGTTAACTATTAATTTAATATTGAAACCCTTAGGTCTCTCCTTCATCATAGGCCAACTGTTTATGGAAAATTAAATTATCTTGGTATCTTCGTCTTTAAGACTTGAGATAGAAGAAATGTGTATCTTATCTTTTTAGAAATCTTGACAATAGGCTGAAAATATTTATAAGGATTAATAATATAGCCTACTTTATGTCTATCCATGTAAGCACACACCATCACCTTTCATATAGGTTCAATATTCACATATATAAAAAATTACTTTAGTCTCACGAAACTTTTGAGTAAAAAAAAAAACTAAAATGATTTGAATTTATTTAGTTAATTAGATTTTATCATATCAAATATGAACTAATTTAATTATAATTTGATTACTTATTAATTTATAAATTTTTAATTAGAGTTACCTTGACGACAAAGATATGACTATTTATGTGTAATGGTTAAATCTAATTTTTATTTTCTAGGTGTAGAATAAAAGACACTACAACTATATCCTAGAAAATTTACAAATAAAAACGCTTAAAATTATAATTTATGCATCAACTTCTTTTACAAACACAAATTTACCATATTGTATTATATGTTCTTCAATCAAAAACTGGCATATTATTAGGTTTCCTCTTCACATTGTCTTCAATTCAACTGAGATAAAACATGTACTGAACTCCACAAGTTGGATTGTGGGCTCTCCTATGTCTCCACAAGTTGTCTTCTTTTACAAACACAAAGTTACCATATTGTATTATATGTCCTTCAATAAGAAACTGGCATATTAGGTTTCCTCTTCACATTGTCTTCAATTCAACTGAGATAAATCATGTACTGAACTCCACAAGTTGGATTGTGGGCTCTCCTATGTCTCCAAAATTAAAGTGTAGTAATGCTGGGGTAATCTTTCAGCAAGAAATTTTATGTATATAAATGTAATGTAATTTATATTATATAATGTGTATATATGTGGGTGGCAGTAGATGTATTCTCAACCTTCAGAAGAAATAGTTGCTCTCTATATTTTTGTCTGTATAACTGTTTTTCTGCTACAAGTTTATTAAAATTAAACAATGGGGTTCGATATACGTTGATTCTCTAAATATGACTGTAGAAGGTATTGTATATAATTTTGGAATTTATGCCGCAACATGAGATCTTCATTCAATTTTTAGTTTGGTTTCTTGCCCTGATATCTAGCACAAGGAAGTGAAATGTACTGATTTTTTTCGTATGCACATTTTTCCATGATTCTTACATTGTAAGGATGAAGAAAGAAGAAATAAAAATTTTTAGATTAACTTGCAGAAACCTTATAGTTGATTTGTAATTAGTTATTTTGGTTTTTGTTGGTGGCGTAGGTTGGAGATTCTGATCAGAAGTTGGCAGATGGAATTTCACTGTACTCTATTGCGGCTGATGTGCGCACTAAAGCAGGGATTCTTGCACCTCTGATAACAGTATGGCTTCAGATGCAATCATTTCTCTTTATGTTTGCATAAGCTGTAAATATGATTGTTGCTGTCATTGATATTTTAATATAATAATCTGTTTTATAATTTTTTATTTTTTACTAAAATGATTGCAATGCAGTATGTTTGGTTCTTAGACAGTTCTGTTTGCCTTTCCTAATTGTATATAATTTGGTAGGAACGTGCGAATGGAGGAAAGTGTATTGTTTTCACTCAAACCAAACGTGATGCTGATCGATTATCATATGTCATGGCCAAAAGCCTTAAATGTGAGGCTTTGCATGGAGATATTTCTCAAACTCAGAGGGAAAGGACTCTTGCTGGCTTCAGAAACAACAATTTCAATGTTTTAGTGGCAACTGATGTTGCATCACGTGGCCTCGATATTCCAAATGTGGATCTCGTAAGTGTTGTTTTGCTAAACATTTTGTTTGAAATTGTTGTGTTATCATCTATTGATCCTTGTTTCTTGATAGTTGATTAAGTTTCTAATTTTCTACATGATAATTCTTCCTTTGTTGGGGAAGAAATTGGGGGAGGGAGAACTTGATCATTATTTCATGTTTTAATTGTTGGATTTCCCTAAATTTCGAGTGGGAGGGGAAATACGGGGTGATGTTTGGTTTCCACATGCTTGTATTCACTATTATTAGTCTTTGTTGTATTACTTTTTCATTTTCGCGGTTATTTGGTTTTCTGTGTATCTCATTCACTCTTATCTGTGTATATGCAAAGACGATGACATACACTGTTATAGAGTTTGCATGTAAACTTTTAATTGGTTGTCTTGTACAGGTAATACATTATGATCTTCCCAATTCATCAGAGATATTTGTTCACCGATCTGGACGAACGGGCCGTGCTGGGAAGAAAGGAGCTGCTATTCTTGTTTACTCAGAAGATCAATTCAGGACTGTGAAGACTATTGAGCGTGATGTTGGATGCAAATTTACAGAGGTGATTTTGCTTCTTTTCCATTTCTTTACAATTGAAGCTTTCTTTGTTAACATTATTCTAGTCCTTGCTGCACCAAGATGATAGCCAACTCTTGCCATAAATCCCATCCAGTTCACCCTAAAGGGGCATTTGAATGTGCTACCCCTCTCTAAGGGAACTTTGTGGTGAATATCTTACTAGTTTGTGAATGAGTTATCGAAAAAGTCTTTAATTTTACCTAGGATTTCTACTACCAATGGGTCTTAAGTACTGACAAAAAAACTCAAGTTGGTCAAAATCTATGTTCAGCAAGCAAACTACTGTCCTTGCACACGGCAAGTGTTGAGTTCTACTCACTTATACATGATGTTATCTTGATGAGCTTAAAGGAATAAAAATTGTATGTAAATGTGAATCCATGTTCAACTGTTAAGGGTCTATTTTGCCTTTGGCGTTCATAACATCAAGCAGGGAGGGACAAAGCTGCAAAATTCAGACTAAAATGCCTCGAATCATTAAAATGTTATGGCAATTAGATAGACATTAAGTTTTGGTGATATTATTGCAATGCAGACTGCACATTTCCTTGTCATAAAATCCTATCAATTTCATGCTCAATTATGGATATACATCTATAGTTCTCGGTTTGGTTTTAGTAGTAAATAATATTGAAATATAAGTTAAAGCTTGTTTTAAACCTGTTAGTTGTATGTTCCTGGATCATGAAGGATAAAAAGTTAAGGGAAAGTGTTGCAAAATGTTATTTTTAAATGCTAGAAAACAAGGATTCTGATCTAGACTACGAGTTCAACGGAAATGATCCGAGAAAGGCTGCAGTTCTTTATGTTGTTGAATAATTAGTAAGAGGAAGGTGAAGTTGTGTCAATTTTGGCAGTGGAAATAACTGTCCTCGCTTTATGCATATCTTTCATGGGTTTAGCCAGCATATTCTTAGTAACATCCAATAGAGCAGTAGTTCTTTTGTTATGGATTCTCATTTTGACCAACATCGGACTGACATAAAATTGAGTAGTTGTCAAACTGAGTGCTTAGACGTTATTTGATCTTTGATGTTGACCCGTGTAACAAATGTAAACCTGTGCACCTATTTGTTCTTTAAGATGTGAAAGGTCAATCCTTCAGCTATAATTATTTTTCTTGCCAACGAGTTTCTTTAACCCTTCTTATGATCTTATATTATAGGTCACTTCTACTGTAATGATTTACTGCTGACATCTTATTCCAATTTTCTTGTTTATCAGCTAGCAAAGATTAATGTTCAAGTTGGATCAGGAGACATGTTCAGTGGAATGAGTGGTGATCGATTTGGTTCTTCAGGATTTGGTATGAGGGATCGTCAGTCTGGAGGTACAGGTTTTGGTCATAGTCCTGGATTTGGCCGTTCTGGCAGTTACAGTAACTCTGGATTTGGCCGATCTAGCTATGGAAATTCCAGTGAGACGGCAAGGTTTGGAGGACCAAATTCTAGCCGATTTGGCAGCCCTGGTTCAAGTACGTCGGGTGGGGGTATTGGAGGATTTGGTAGTTCAGATCGATCTGGCAGGTTTGAAAATTCTGGGTGGGGTCAATCTGGTTCATTTGGTGATAGAAAGTCAAGCCAGAGCAGCACCTTTGGAGGTTCACGTGGCAGTGGTTTCGGTGGTGTTGGGGATAACCCAAATAGTGGAAGTTACAGTAGAGGAAAGCCTTTTTAACTTCAACTTGCCAAGTACAGCCATCTTCATTTCTTGATGGTTTAATTTTCGGCTCTTGTAAAATTAATTTACTGGCTTTATCTAAATTTTCGGATATCTTGCCAATTGCCCCGTATCTCAGATGGAAAAGGTAATATAACATAATAATACATTCTATTTTGGGAGCTATTACAGTAGTTTTTTTATCTTGGGACAGAGCTTCAGCCAAAATCTCCACTCTAGTTTATTCACTCCATAGCAAAAGCCTGTATCATCTGCACGTCCCAGCTTCTGCCTATCATTTTTGTTTCACTATTTCGTCTGTTCCCTTTTGAAGCGGTTTGGTAGATTATGATTCTAAACGTCTATCCGTGCATTTAAATGCCTTGGAAATTTTATAGCAGCTGCCTTTATAGAGGTGATCCACTTTGTTTTATACGTTCTTCAAAATTCATTATGGGCAAAGAGAGAAATGTTTAGAAACAGGTAGGTGTTCATTCATGTTATCACAATGCTGCATATTATGATGCAAGGAAATTCTCATATTATAACTGTTGTAATATTAATACATTATCAACAACTGTTTTGTCGTTGCACTTGGTCTACTTAACGGAATGAATGAAATATTCATCAATGTCTTGTTTGATTAAAGAGCACTGGGAAAGGTGATTTATTGCATAGGCACAGAAATTGTTGAACTGTATTGAAGCATAATTGCTAAATGGATCATCCAATATGATGGTCAAAATGCCAATAACTTGATGGTAGTTACTTCCCATTCCTTGCTTTTTTCCATTGGTTATTGAATTGTTCCAACTATTTCTTATCATTAATACTCTTAATGTTTTTTAATTATTTACTTGTACAACTTTCTTTTTTAGTAAGGGATAGTTTAATCTAAAAGATGTCAATGCGAAAAAAGATTTGGGGTATTATGTTTCTTTGATGTTTATCACAAAGCTTAACTTCAACACAACTCTAAGGACTAATCAACACCCACCATTAATGGAGGAGCACTAATAGATCTAAATGTCTGTTAGATGGCAAAACAGAATAGTTTATATATATATATATATATATATATATATATATATATATATATATATATATTTAATTATATGAATCATTTTTGAAATTTTATTTAAAATAAATATTTTATGACATAAATTAAAAATATACTATATTCCTATGTCAAAATAATTAATTATAATTAATAATTTAAATTTAATTAATTAATTTTTATAATTTAAATTATAATATATTTATATATTTCAACAATATTATAAAAAAATATAATATTTTTAGTTATAATTTTTTAATTTTAATTTTAATATATAAATATCTTTTTAAAACGAATAAGTTTGTCCTATTCCTGATAACAATAGATTGGCAGACTAAAAACGGGTGAATAAAATTTGTTTTATCATCCTAAAATATATCAATCATATTTGCAGCTCTATTCATTATATTGTAAATTATCAAATAGAGATTGATTAGGATAATTTTTAGGATTAATTATTGGAATTAGTCTTCATTATAAGGATTAACTTGATTATAGAGATTGGATTTCTTTTTTCAAAGATATATTCCCTCTCTGCTGCTACTTATATATATATATATATATATATATATATATATATATATATATATATATATATATTCTTTGTAATAATATACATAAGCTTAAAAAACCCTTTTTTTTCAATATCGTATAAAAGCTCCTTTCTTTAAGCTTGATCCACCACGTTCTTATTTTTTTAGAACCCCTTGTAAAGTGTGAACCTAAGAGATGTCTGGGTTTGCATCAACTCCTATCACATGCATAAACTCCTATCACATCATCTCCTATCATCATTCAATCCGAGAGTGCTTTCAATTCTAGAATCATTCTTAGTGAAACAAATTATGACATATGGTCACAAATAATGGAAATGCATTTTGCAGAGAGGGAGAAACTCTCATATTCTAAGGAAGGAGAAGCAACCTATATAACAAGATCCAGGTTATGAAAAATGGTATGCAAAGAATCAAAAGGTGAAGAGGTGGTAGTTGCTATCCATGAGCCCGAAAATTAGGAAGCGTTACTTACACTTAGCCACGAGGTGAAATTTGGAGTGCATTATCTAAGGCATTATATGATGGAAGTGATGAATTACAAGTCTTTACTTTAAATCAAAAGGCATTCACCGCTAAATAAAGTGGTAGGTCTCTCTCAGAGTATTATGGAGAGTTGATAGAAATTTTCCAAGAATAAGATCATCGTGATAAGGTGGTCATGAAAGATCCTGAAGATGTTATAACTTACAAGAAATCTGTGGGACGATAAGAGTGCATATATTTCTTGCTGGATGTGAGAGGGGAAAAGTCCCACATAGAATAGAACATGTTTAGGGACTTGTCTTTTATGTTATAAAAGGAACCCAATGTTTCCTTAAGAGTCATCCCAAAAAGCTTCTCATTTTTCTTTCTCTAGTGTTATTTGTATTTCCAAGAAAGGGTTGTAATTATTTTTCTTGGGACTAGAGAAGAGGTATGTAATTTTTCTCCTATTATAAAATTTCCATTTTTTGCCTATTGTAGCTATTCAATTTTTTCTCGTCTCTACTTTAATTGAGTTCTTGTGCAATTAGTCTGATGCCCAACAGTGGTATCAGAACCACGTTCTTATTCCGTTGTGCTAGTCACTAGAATAGTGTTGGTAGAATTCTAAGTATGCTATGTAGTTGCATTTTAATCTGATCTTCCACATTAGAAAAGAGTTGTTACTGGAAAATGTGTGGTAATGTGAAAGTGCATGTCTACTACTATTATTTCAGTAGATAATACTATTCATAAGTGAGAGTTGCATAAGTCGGTATACAATCATGGCAGCAAAGTACGAGATAGAGAAGTTCAACGGGAACAATTTCTCATTATAGAAATTGAAGATGAAGACAATTTTGAGAAAGGACAATTGCTTAGATGCAATTGAAGGAAGACCCGCAGAAACAACGGATCAGAAGTGGAAGGCTATCGCGAATTTGCACCTAGCAATGGTAGATTTTGTACTATCTAGTGTTGTGGAGAAAAATACAGCAAAGGAGATTTGGGATGCCTTCATCAAATTATATGAGGTGAAGTCTCTTCACATAAGGATATTCTTGAAGTGGAAACTCTATACTCTTCGGATGAGTGAGTCCACATCGATGACATACCACATCAACCACTTGAACACCTTATTTACCCAACTCTCAACAACAAATTTCAACATAGTTGAAAATGAGCGTGCATAACTTCTACTTCAGAGCCTACTAGACTCGTATGATCAACTTATCATCAACATAACAA